CCATGGACGAGCGCACGCTGCGCGGCCACTGCCGGGCGCTGGAGGCCGGCGCCGTGCGCGTCGGCGCCGGCCGCTTCACGCTGCCGCGCCACGCCCTCCTCAGCCTGCCGCGGTACGCGGCGCGGCGCACCGTGCGCCCCGGCGAGCTGGTGGTCTGCTCGGTGCCCAAGTGCGGCACCACGTGGACGCTAGAGATGGCCTGGCTGCTGGCCAACGACTGCGACTTTGCCGGCGCACGCACGCCGCTTGATCAGAACCGTTACACGGAGGTGGGAATTTTTCTACCTGGGCCTGACGCCCGCCTTTCTGCGCGAGTACGTGCCGCTGGTGCTGACGCGGCCCTCGAAGCTGGCCGGGCTCTGCCGGTTGGGCTACTTGCTGTTGCGCGGCCTCTGGCGCTCGGCGGGGCTGGTGTGAAACGCACGTACCGCTGTCGCTGCTGCCACCCGACGTGCTGGACACCAACAAAGTATCTATGTGACCCGCAACCCGAAGGACGCGCTGGTGTCGTACTACCACCACTTCTCGCGCTGCCGCGTGGTCAAGTACAGCGGGTCGCTTGAGGACCTGGCCGAGGACTACATGGCCGGCCGGCTGCCCGGGCTGCCGTTCTTCTCGCACGTGCTGGAAGCGTGGGAGCGCCGCGACCATCCCAACATGCTGTTCCTGTTCTACGAGGACATGAAGCGTGACATGCCGGGCACGCTCCGCCGCGTGGCCGCCTCGGAAAGCAGCTGACGGACGAGCAAGTGGGCCAGCTGTGCAGCCACCTGGACTTCGCCGGCATGAAGAACAACAAGCACGCCAACTCGCTGATGTACCAGGACGCGGGCATCCTGGACATGCCGTCCTTCATCCGCGAGGGCCAGGTGGGCAGCTGGAAGCAGCAGTTGTCGGCCGACACCGACCGGCGGCTCAACGACTGGATCAGGCGCTCGGTGGAGGGCACCGGCCTCACGTTCCAGGGTGTCCAGTGAGCGCCGCCGGCTCGACGCGCCGTCGATGCTGCGGAAGACGAGTATGGAACATAGCGACGTGCGTCATGCGGTCCGCCTTTAGACCGTACACGCATGTTTTGAGACACGTGTTTGCACAAGGTTTCCAGCGCCGGGTCATCGTGCAATCCCTGACTCGTAAAACGACACACGGTCCCGGGTCACGCCGATGCGGAACTGTAAGGTAGCCAGCGACCCGTGGCGGCTAATCTCGCACAGTTTTTGCTGTTCCGATCTTGACCCGCTGTGATGGTGACAGCACGATGTACTCGCAACGAAACAAAATTACATAGCTTTGGGTACAGCGTAGGCAGCTCAATCAATTAGTGCGCGGTGGGTGGAAAGATGCACGGTCAAGATGCAGTACGCACACATCAGGTACAGTTCTAAAACTAGAAATATGTGATCAGAGACGCTGCTGCTAGGCTAAACAAATCTGGTGGGGACAATCGGGCCCGGCATCTTTCTTCTCGCATGCTCTGGTTGTGCACGACGGCTCGACAACTCCCATCATTAAAGACACCGGGCTTACACAGTGACAATAACACGGCTGCACCAACGGAACATGAGCACTCGAGGGTCACAGCAGCGGTAGGGGCGAGCCTGTTTTGCTTGTGGCGATTGGCGGTGCGCCTCTTCACGCTCTCGGACGCCCTCCTTAGCCGTGACACCCACCGCGCCACTCCGATGTCGCCAGATGCTCGAGCGAACTGTTTCGGGAATTCGTCTGCATTTCACGTGTGCGTAGATAAATTGTTACCCCACAGGTTTGGCCAGACCCAAGTATCGCCTCTCCGACGTACTCGAGTCGGTCTCAAAGGTGGCGTTCATCGCGCCAGCGCCAGCGGGAACAAAACATGTTAACGCGACCTTAAACTGACTTTTTGATACGAAGGTACCACGGAACACCATTTTCGCTGGTCAATTGAGAAAGAAAATACACAGTACCATAACACATTATTGTCTTGCTTCGTAAATCACAAACTGTTTAAGATCAAACAAGATCATATCCGTGAGCAAAATACAACCGGGCACGGGTTTGTTTCCAGCGACAACCCTGGTGCCTGGAACGAAACGCGAACTAACCGTAGTCGTGCACATCATGGTGCGTACACATACATCCATTGATGCATTAAGCTTCATTATAAACAGCTCGTAACTCCCAAATCCATCCGTATTCGATAAATACGCACACACAAAGCACCACAACCTCGTTCGCAACAAGATACAAATCGCATAATCGCTTGCGGCCAACCCCAAGTCTGAGCACTACGAAACCTTCCCTTTACACGGATGCAAAGTAAGCGGCACAACCTCGTCGTTAAGAAAGGCAAGTCAAATGTTACAGAAATAGCCACTGACGATCGCCACTCACAAAATATAAGGACCGCGAGCTTAACAAGCCGGCAGAACTTCAGTTCGCAATGTACGACAGCCCGACCTGGCGCGAGGAAGTTCTTGTCCAACAGCATACTATTGAGCCCTGAAACTGCCAAAGTACATCTATGTTGCGAGAGCACAAACACAAGGCACCACTGGTGATAAGAATCAACGGAACAGTATGCTACAAGCACGGCGACCAGCCACGGCAGGCCTCTGACGGCGGACTCGGCCGCCCGGCACGGTCGGGAGACGAGGCATCCGACGATCGACTCGGCGGCGACCACATGACCCGACGGCGGGAGCCGACGGAGGGTCCGGGGCGAGGCTGAGGCGGGGCGCCGCCACCAGACGGCCTCACCGGAACATTGCACAGCCGCCGGCGCTGGCCAGGCACCCCGCGATCGTTGCCCCCCGGCTGATCAACGAACACGTCGACGCAACACCGCGAGGCTGACAAACTCGGGTCGCACCAGCGTCGGGTACTTGGATCATTCGTGAGGGGGACTGTCACATCCAGTGCAACGCGATACTCGAAATAATCGGAACAAGTTGCGAGGAATTCTTACAAAATACCACAATAACACGTGAGCACGACCACGAGAAAGCCACCCCGCGCGGCAGACACCCGCCGGCGCAGCGTCGCTGGCGCAGCCCGCACCTCCCGCAAGCGGTGGTGCGTATCACAGAAACACCGTCCCGGGCACTCACGGCCCCACAGAGCAGACAAGGTGGACGCATCCACCGAGCGGCAGGCCGCCTCCACGCGCTTACACCGCACGCAAACGGCACGGACGCACGCGCTCGCACGCAGGCGTGGCGATATGTTCCCACGCTTTAAGCGTCGCAACGCGTCGATTGAGTTTCAGTGATGCCACCTGGCCAACTAGCCATCACGGCCGTCAGCGCTGAGGGTCCTGCGGTGCCCGCCCGCGTCGGCTGGAGCATTCAAAGACACTGACTAGGCCCGGCCGCCGACGCCAGCGCAGGTCACGAACGCGCCTGGCGGAAAAACATCTGCAAAGGAAACAGAAAAAGTGGCGTTACGGAACTGTACGGGTCATGAGAACGGTGTCCTGGCTGTTCAGCCTCTGGCAAGGACACCACGGGCAGATGGCAAGCAGGGCCTGTCAGATAATCAGCGAAGCATACGGAAGACGTGTTGAAGAGATGAAAGCAATATCATATGTTGCCACTCAGACCCAGAGCACACGATATTATACGTTGTCAGCACCTCGTGATTATTTTTTTCCGTCATCCCACAGCGTTCGGTTAGGACGACAGCACGTTTCCATTCGACGCAAATCACCAATACATGTTGACGTGCCCCTCCCATCAACCAAAAACCACCAGTGATCCCACTCAAGCAGTCGTCGCTCCCATCAGAACACGTCCATTGTTTTTGGATAAGAGCCCTTTCGACCCGAAACTGATCATTTCAGGGCTATGGGAGGAAGGAAATGGTTAACGGCGGGACAGACTAGCATTCGCGCCCTGGGGGGCCAACCACCGAGCTTAAACTAGCGCATGCGCGCTGGGTACCCGGTCAGGTCCGCCTTCCCACGGGGCTCTCGGCCCACTCGTGGCTGATGCAATGCAGCCTGCCCGGACAAGAGGGGTTGTCGCGAGAATGCAGGATGAGGCGAGATATGAGGGATAAGAGAGACCGATGCGGATACCGTCTAAGAACACGTCCAGGTTTGTCGCGGCGCGGCGGGGCGTCCGAGAGAGGCCGCGAGGCCGCCTACCTTGGTTGTAGTTGCGGAATATCTTGCTGTCGGAGCGGAGCGCCTGGCAGAAGCGCTGGATCACGTCCGGCTCCAGGTCCAGCGTGGGCATGTACCGCTCTGCAGGTAGCTGACCAGCTCCTCGCCCTGGCGGCAGCGCTCACGCTGTCGTGACCGGCGCGGCGCACCGGCGGTCGCAACACAGACAGAGCGCACACACGGCTGACAGCAGCGCACAGCAGGCTCAGCTCACGGACCAGGTGACATTAGGACATGGTGAACGTTCCATGCAACCACCATTGAGGTCTTCGGCGATCGCTGAGAGCAGATTAAATATGATACGCCCGGTAAATGTTGCACTCTAATCCTACGCATCTAATCTCATCATGAACCTTTTTTCATGGCTCATTAAAGTAGGGGCTGGTCATAGAAGTTCGAGAAAACCGTCCCTGACGTTCGCAACACCGACACGCGATCCCAATCATCTGTACCCGGCACAACGCTCTCCCTCTCCTCAACGACAATCCCATCGACTTCATGCTCTCACCAGCCTTGTGCCCGCACCTTTCACCGCTCCCCCCCCCCCCGCACCTGTCCTCGCCGTCCCCCCGCCGGCCGTCGGTCGCCCGGCGCTCACCCGCTGCTCGTAGACGGTGCGCAGGCAGAGGGCCGACTCGTGCAGGGCCTGCATGGTCTGCGCGTCGGACAGGTCGAACGTGCTGCTGAGTGGCGCGCGGAAGCAGGCCGGCCACCACGTGCTCGTACAGGAAGGCGGCGAAGTCGGCCGGTCCCTCGCGGCCCCACGCCTCCGTCACGCGCCGGAGGATGGTGAAGCACGAGCGCTGCGCCTGCGGGCCGCGACGCCGCGCGCCGGTCAGCAGACGGGGATGGCTATGGAAGTGGGCTGCTGCGTACGGGACGGGACCATGAACGCCATCTGACAATAGCAAGCTTCAGAGGCGCTCGTCGGTAGCGTTGTACGCTAACCTGATCGCAATTGCTGCCCAGGGCTCTCGTGACGAGCCCAGTCTAGAAGGCAGCAGACACGCACACAGCATAAAGATGCCTAAACAATACTTAGATCTCAATAAAAGAAGCAGTGAAGGCCCGCACAGGCGGCAAGAAGATGCCGAAGAAGAAGAAGAAGCCAAAAACACTAAACGCTTTCGATGTGCTTGAGGCATGATCACCACGGCGTATCACATGAGGACACGACCACCACCCAACCCGCGCTAACCACCAGTCCATGTAAGGCACCTCGAGGCCACAGCCTGAACCGCACCATACACAGACCTCCGCCTTGAGGTCAGCCACTTACCACGGGGTCAGGCAGCTCGACAGCACCCTGCACCACGGACAGGAGCACGGCGTGCAGGTGCTGCGGCTGCTGCTGCGCCAGCACCTCCAGCACGTTGTTGGAAACGAGCGACGCCAGGAAGAGGTAGTAGCAGCGCTGCAGCGTCTGCCGGTCTCGCCGCGCCTGCCGCCGACACCAGACGCACGCGCGGGGTGATAAAGCCGCCCCCATTCATTCTACGTGCCCATCGTGCCACGATTTGAGTAATGAAGGCGCTCCTTGTGACACGGTTTGTAGAACAATGCCCAGACTGCATTACCCGGCTCTCCCAACAAGTATGCCGGTGCCCCCACTCGGGTAGATGTCAGATAGGCAAACCCGCGTTCGGGATACTTCATCTGGCGGACCGCATCAGGGTACGAGAACTCTGTGGGACTCAAAACACCGCCAAGGCCACCATCTCGCTCCGACGAGAAGCTGTACTCCGTACTCGTCCCTGTCCGCCCCCCCCCCCCCCCCCATCGAGCTCGCCGCGGCGCCGTACTCACCACCTCGTCGTCGTCGTCGATGGGCTGGCGCAGTCCGGCGAAGATCGTCTCCACGATGGGCATGAAGGCGCGCGTCACGAACGGGATCACTTCCTTCTGAAACAGCCACGATAGCTACACTCAGCGTGTCGCACCTGCTCGCGCGCGCCGCCCGCGCCGCGGTTCGGCCGCGGCCGGCCGAACACCGGCTGCTGGCGTGCCGTGCAAGCGCATCTCGGCCAAGCTCCTCGCACTTTTGGAGCGCAGGTAAGTGCGTGTTTATGCGCTTAGTGTTAGCACGTATGGCAATGGCGATTATGAGACGTTAATGCAAGCCATAACACATTCACTGCAGGAGGTTACATGTCTGGTTACTCGTGACATGCATTTACAATGCAGATTCTCCTAAATGCATAAACGTGCATTGCCGATGTTAGCGCATAGCAATGTTCGTACCCCAATTATTCTTTGATGCATGCAGTTGGTCACATTTGGTCACGTCACATAACTTCCAAGGCATCCGCGTTATCGTGGCAAGCGTCCGCAGGTCCATAAAGGAACAACGAAGCAAGTAAATACGAAAACTGGCACATATATGGGGAATTAGCGGAGAACATGATATCATCACAGGGTAAATTATAGTTGAAAGAAGCCCGGAACAAGTCCAGAAACACAACTAATAATGGCCGTTGTTTGCTACATCACGAGCCTGCGGTGACAATACCGGCGCAACGTTCTTTCCTGAACTAGAAACCAGCCAGCCTAGCCCATTGTTGGAGTGAGAGAAACCCCGCTGACAGCATTCAAGACTGTGTTCGTAGATGGCTGCGCAACGTTTACTGGTACGTGCCGACATGCGCCTTCCTATTACCCAAAGCGGTCTGACGACCGGCCCAGCGCGTAACACAGCGGGCGAATCCGGCCGGCTTCCCCCTCCCACCCACATCCAGAGACCCTCCAGCGCGACAGCAAGACAAACAGCGGGCAAACCCGGCCGGCTTCCCCCTCCCACCCACATCCAGAGACCCTCCAGCGCCCCAGCAAGACAAACAGCGAGCGAGTCCGGCCGGCTTCCCCCTCCCACCCACATCCAGAGACCCTCCAGCGCCCCAGCAAGACAAACAGCGGGCGAGTCCGGTCGGCGCCCTCCCACACCCACGTCCGGAGACCCTCCAGCGCACCTTGTACTTGGCGACCACCTGGTTGATGAGCGGCAGGTACTCCTGCACCTTTCGCACGTCAGCGGAGCGCAGCAGCGCCTCGGAGGCGGCCGGGATGTAGGGCAGCACCTCCTCCTCCAGGCACACCACCAGCCGGTGCAGCAGCTGGATCACGCCCGACTGCAGCAGCGGGTACTGGCGCGGGCCCTGCGGCGGCACACGGCGCACGCCGGTCAGACGGTCAGGCACCTGGGTCACATCGAGATGGAGCAGTGAAACACAGGGCGGACCAACGCCCGACCGCATCTTCAGATAGCTTATCGTTGACGCTGTGAGGATGCGTGGGAAGAACTTGACTAAAGACGGAGTTGACCCTTCCACTCCATAGCACGTTCCTTCACCCCTGGAGCGATGCCACCAGAGCACACCGACATTAGCACACGAAACCGAGAGGCTAGTTTGGCCATAAACCACCCCGCGGCGGCGCACGTGCCCGGATCGCTTCAGCCCCGTCGTCGCGCGCGACCCACCTGCAGTGTGTTCAGGAAGATCTGCAGCGCCTCCAGGTAGAGCTGGACGCAGCCGACCAGCCGCATCGTCTGGCCGGCCGAGAAAGCCTTGGTGGTGCGGGCGGTGACGCCGACGGCGTGGCGCGCCTGCCGCTGCAGCCGCTCGGCCAGCGGCGAGCCCTCGGGCGCCGACTCCAGCTGCGCCGACAGCGTGCCCACCTGGCCCACCACCGGGCCCAGCAGCTGCTGCAGCTGCTCGCACTTGTGCTGCCGAGGTGGACACGGGCAGGGGTCACCAGGTGGCGAGGTGGCGCCGGGTGGAAGCATTGGGCGTCACGCAGCGAGAAAAGGCCGAGCGTCGCATAACTGCCCGAGGTGAGGAATGGAACACTTGCGCCCCGTCACGTGCTGACACGAGATGGTTCAATATTCAAACCAGCCAGCCATGATCCCCAAAGCAGCTAATACCACTGGCATGATTAAAATAGTTGAAATGAGCTCCCAATGCGGGATTTTAATGACACCGAACACTGTTAAAATGTCCCCGCAAACATGAAGCACCCGATGACAAAGAAAAACACATCAACCCAAAAGAACTCGCCAAAAGATCACCATTTTCGCTGCAAGATCTAATCTGACTAACCAAAACCCCACGAGCACTTTAAGGCGCACCATTCACCGAACACCTCTACACCACGTGCACGGAGCGATGCCAAGCACGTACGTTGTTGTCCGACGCCGCCGAGATGGTGAGGACGGCGACGGTTTCGAAGAGGTACAGTACGGACGCCGAGCACGCACCATGTTGTCCGACGCCGCCGAGATGATGAGGACGGCGACGGTTTCGAAGAGGTACAGTACGGATGCTGAGCACGTACCTTGTCCGACGTCGCCGAGATGATGAGGACGGCGACGGTTTCGAAGAGGTACAGTACGGACCCCGAGCACGTACCTTATTGTCCGAAGCCGCCGAGATGATGAGGACGGCGACGGTTTCGAAGAGGTACAGCTGGTCCTCGCGGTTGAGCAGCGTGGCGTCGGACGGGTCCAGCGAGAGCAGGTTCTTGATCTGACCCAGGATGGTGTCCGTGAATGGGCCCATCTGCACCCTGACGAGGACACAGCCGAGCTCAGCACGCGGCAAACTTCAGAACTGATGCCAGGCGCGTCAGCACTCGGCATGAACAATGAATCACCTCGATAGATCCCTGCAACTACCCGAGCAGCATTCACTCAGGTATTGGCTGCTGTTTTTATTACACACTTATGGCAGCAACATCCTTGCTTACATACTAAAGATTGACGATTCTTCAAAACTTTCTTCGGTAACTTCACAAACATTATACGTCTTATTCCTTATGGACCTTCTCCAAAAATAAAACGCATCTCGCAAATAAAAGGACAACATCCATCGCATACACTAAGCCCATCGCAACAGACGGCTTTCACAGCTGCCTCTACAGATGCCATACCAAAACCTGCTTACTTGAGACATTTGATGAAACGCGAGAAGAGGTAGACAGCGCGCGCCCTGTTGCGCTCGTTGGGGTGGTTCATCCCCCGCTCGTCCAGGAAGGCAGTCAACACCTGCCAGCCAGGGAACCAGTCAGGCCATCAGTCACCATCAGGACACTCAGGACACCACTCACCAGTCACCATCAGAACACTCAGGACACCAATCACCAGTCATCAGCAGACAACACAGGCAGTTAACATGGGGAGCACAGCACACCAGGACGGCTAGTGTACAGTCCACGGTCCGTTCGTAACCAGGCCTAGGAAACGTCGGAGCTGTCGAAAGAGAGCTCAACAGCGCAGTGGACTCCCAATACATAGGTTCACATCTCACGCGCTACGTATCTCTAACGGTGGACACGGCGCAAGCAACAGAACACCAGCAACTCGTGCGGCGGACGTTACGCCTACGTTACACTGCAAACCGCTTAAGTGTAACAGTATAGTTCAACAGCGCTGTGAGGCGCAGGTTACTGACAGTCGCGCGCACCGCCACGTGCCGCGTCAGTGCTCGGCTGCATGTTCGTTTCAAACGGCGGCCCACCTGCGGCAGGAGGGCCGCCTCCACGGTGAAGAACTTCTCGTAGCGGGAGACCGTCTCGAAGTACTGAAACGGCACGATGTGGTGCGGGTACGAGACGACGTCTGAGGTTACCAGGCGGCGCATCATCGTCTGCAGCAGCGTCACCTTCGCCTGCAACAGCGCCGGGGAGGCGTCAGCCGGCTGCCATGCCAACAGGACTGGACGACCATTCCGGCACGTGACGAGACTGCACTGGGTTCTCTGTTAACGAGATCTCCGACCATACTAAACTGGCGGCATCCGCCGAGGCAGCATGACTGATCCACGTTTGAGAGAGCGGACGGGGTCGCAGTTCAAAAGAAGGCTTCATCAGCCGTCACAGGCATGCCATAATCCGGGCAGCCCACTGTTCATATGGGCAGCACCACGCACCGGCTCGTCGGAGAAGAAGTTGCCAGCGGAGGCGGGCGGCAGCGCCTCGCCCAGCATGTACAGCATGGTGATGGCGGCCTCCACGTCCCGCATGGGCAGCGACTTCCAGCAGTCGAGCGTGGAGCAGATGAACTGCTGCGTGATGTGCAGCACCAGGTCCCGGTCCACGGCCGCCAGGTTGTCGTACAGCACCTTCAGCCGCTTCCTGAGGACGCCCAGAGGTACCGTCGCGTGACGTCACGCGATGCCACTCCCGCCTCCACCATCAGTAGCATATCGGTCGCGTTGTTATGTCAGGCAATGTGGAGCTCCATGTCTGATCTTCCTTAGGTCCGAGTTCGATTAAGCTGAGTGCCCTCATCTCATGGGCCGAGCCTTGATCCTGTCCTGGTTCTCATCTGGCCCGCAGTCCGTACATGCACTCCTAGAGCATGGCCCCGCCATCGTCCTCATCTGACCCGCAGTCCGTACCTGTACTCCTGGAACATGGCCTCATCCTCGCCCATGGCCTGGAAGTCGTAGTCATCGTCGTACTTGAGCTTGTGGATGATGACGTAGACCATGTCACGGACGTGGCCCGTCTCGGCCTCAGACAGCATCGGCTTCGTCTTCAACAACTGCGAACGGGGTCAATCGTCAGCAACGGGGAACATGGTCACTACATCAGATTGTCAAGACAGGCTTTACGCTCTTCCTACACGTGCATATTCTTGGAACGCTTGGGTAGTCCTTTCAACGATGTCTTAATCCTGCAACGTGTTATAACATTTATGTGGAACATTTCCCTTCCATCCCACCTTCACACAAAGTCAAGCAGTGCAGCTATTTACGAGTCTGACGTGGAAAACCCGTCAGCCACGAGGTACGAAATTCAAAAAAGGACATTCATGCACGCACACAACAACCATCCACCTCAAGGCGAAGCCCAAAAAGGTGTCCGACTACTTCCAGTACCACCGGCATTGTAGCACGGAAAAGCACCCACGCCACCGCGCGCCAACAACCACCGCACGAGACCGCCCGAGCGCCGCATAAGACCACCCGAGCGCCGCATAAGACCACCCGAGCGCCGCATAAGACCACCCGAACGCCACGTAAGCCCGCCTCGGCGCCACATAAGACCACCTGAGCGCCACCTACGACCACCCGAGCGCCGCATAAGACCACCCGAACGCCACGTAAGCCCGCCTCAGCGCCACATTAGACCACCTGAGCGCCACCTACGACCACCTGAGCGCCACATAAGACCACCTGAGCGCCACATAAGACCACACGAACGCCGCACCTGCACGTAGTCGCGGGCGAAGTCGATGACGCTGCGCGAAGGGTCGTCGTAGTCGCACTTGAGGAAGGCCAGCATGTGCTGCACCTTGGCACCGATGGCCGCCTCGGTGGCGGCCAGCGCGCCAGACCCGGGCGCCGCCGCCGCCGCCTTGGCCAGCTTGTGGTAGCAGAGCACCAGCTCGATGCCCATGCCGTTCAGTACCTTGCCCAGCTTGCAGAGATAGTCGACGTCCTCGGCCGGCGTCTGCGAAGCGGACACGTGCGGTGCTCCAGACGGGCGACGACAGACAGCTGGTTGCGCGCGCACGAGTGTCCGAAACATACCTCTCAGCAGGCGTAGCGACCGACGCAGCGATGTCGTAGACGTAAAGCGCGACCGTCGCACGAACGCGCATCATCCCTCCACAGGCAATTACCGAGTTAGTCACCATGTACTCGAGCAAACACAACACAGTGTGAACCATACAACATCCGCCTTATTGCAGGCCACTTCAGCGTTCACCCAGTCGCGGGCTAAGTCGAACCCATGCATGCTCTGAACTCGTGCCGGCTCGTGCGTGTCCATCCCCCGGCACGAGCGGCGTCCAGCCCCGTCCACCTCACCTGATCGTTGACGCGCTCCAGCAGCTGGAACACGGCCGCCTGCTGCAGTACGGCGAACAGCGACTCGACCAGCTGCACCTTGGGCACGGGCTCCATGCCCTTGTGCGTGATGTCATGCAGACAGTCGGCGGCCGCCTCCCGCACGTCCACCAGCCCCAGCAGCGTCACCAGCACGGCGACGAAGCGCTCGTTGGCCACCTGCCGACGCGCGGCGCACATACAGCGCGGATCGCACGAGAAATGACGTGCAAGGACACGATTGAATCCCGACATGCTCCCGGGGGCCGAGGAGGGCACAAGAGGGCGCCCTGACGGATTCTGGACGGTCACGCAATCTGTGTACGGGTACAGCTGGCCTGGCTGCTACAGCGTGGCAAACAGGCAACACCTTGCGGAGCGCGGCATGGCGCCAGCACGGGGGTAAAACGGCCTTCGCGTCGCGGACTGCCCGCTGCAGGCTATTCTGCATTTGTCACGGCGGTGGCCGTCAGGCATTCTGGCGACCACCACGCCCTCCCATAGCGGGTTTGTTACCAACATTCCACACACCAAACAAAGGCACTCAAATTCCGAACCAATATTTAACCAAGGCTCAGATCTCAAACTTGACACGCACGGCTAACGTTGCACGGAGTTCACACGCGCTCGACCCGACCCCGGCGCTCAACCTCTCCACCCACCAGGCCGATGTCGATCCAGGAGACGAACTTGCCGACCACCTCGAGGCACATGCAGACGAGATGGGGCTGCGTGGTGGCGTACGACTGCAGCGTGCCGTGCCATGACTCCACCAGCTGCAGCACGCACTTCTCACGCATGGCGTCGCGGATGCGCGTGTTGCGGCGCGCCTCCTGCTCAGAGTGCACCACGTCCCGGTCCACGATCTGCGGGGGGGGGGAGGGGTGAGGACAGCGGAGACTGGTCACGGTACATCTCCGAGACGGTTCGCCTGATGCCAGGGCCGAAAAGGTGATAAATGGCGTCGATGACCTTAATGAAGACAAAAACGGCCTCGAGCCGTCTGCCTAGAACTGGCATTGAGGCTGGGTATTGCTTGTCCTCAACGCACCCGCAACGCCGAATTTGCGATGCGACAGGACGAGCCGATCCAGCAAGTTTCGTCTCATAAAAGCAAGCTAGGAGCCTTCGGAACTTTGAACCGCGCCAAGCCCGCTATCACACTGGAAAGGTCATTTTTACTCCATATGTACTCCATGTGTTTACTTTTTAACCATAATGACCATAACGAAGACAACATACAAATAATTTTTGAACGTGTCAGTAATACCAGGCGGTTCATGGTGCGCATGTTCTTTGGCGATGATCACCAGGGAACAGGGTCGATGGTTCACCTCACGGAACTACGCTGAAAAAATCCCACTGCGGCTGAGTGGCGGGGGACCGGTACGCGTGCTGCGACGCAACATATGCAAATCGCTAGCACTTGGGCAGGCCGCCCACTCGCGCGCCCACACACGCACCACCCGATGTACAACCTCCCGGATCCTTCGCGCCGGAGCCGTGCGAGGCTGCGGGAGCCGGCCCACGTCCCCTCGGACGCCGACACGGGTGGGTCGCGTACCTCCTGGTCGATCTGCAGCAGAGTGCGCAGGTACATGTCAACAGCGGGCGGGCCCAGCGCGGCCATGCCCATCAGGTCCAGCAGGAAGGTCGGCCAGCGGTCCGGGAAGTCGGCGACGAAGATCAGAGCGAACACCTGCGCAGCCTTGTTGCGCAGGTACGTCTTGGCGCCGGCGGCTCCCAGCTTGCACTGCGAAGGACGGCGCGCCGCGGTCAATGGCGAGTGCTGACGTTGGTGGCCGGCTACGGCCACGAGCTGGCTCACGGCGGCGAACAGCAAGAACCAGCACATAACGCGGCCGAGGTGTAATTAATCCTACGACACGAAGCTCAGCAGGACTACAGTGCGCGCAAGACCACCAGACACGCACTCTATAAAGGCAGCCGCGGCTCGCGTCCCGCAAGAGACCAAGCCAACCCCAGCAGCGCTGATCACAAGCAGCGGCCGAGGTCTGCGACCCCAGCACCCCGCCCTTCCCCGCTGCCACACACCTGGCGCTGCACCCAGCCGCTGATGAAGAGCCGCACGGCGGGCGCCGCACCGTCGGCCTCGGCCGGGTAGCGCGTCTTGACGAAGTGCTCCACCGCCTGCAGGCAGTAGAACTGCACGTGCTCCTCAGCGTCGAGCGCCGGCGAGAGCAGCGCGTCCACGCACAGCCGCCAGCCGTCGTCGGACGCCTTGAGGCCGTCCAGGTAGGCGAGGCCGGCCCGCTGCAGCTGCGCGTCCGGCTCGATGAGGCCGCGTAGCCGGCGCACGAACTCCTCGGCCGCCACCGCCTCCATCGCCGCCTGCGGCAGCGTCGGGCCGATGGTGATGGTGGTGGTGGCAGTGGTGGCCAGGCTGGGGTGAGTCGATGTAGGAAGTTGCATTATTGGGACAAGGAGAGGCAAAAGTTCATATGGGCAAAATTCCTTGGGACTGCCCCGGACCACCCTTTTGATATGGCTACCCAGCATATATTATTGTAACCAAGACCACCTGTGTTTCACGTCGCAACAGAGGCGCCTTATGTCGTGTTTGAAGCACTCTGTAATTGGCTGATGGTGACTGCGGTTGACCCGCCTGCCGATGCCAGCGGCCATTCTGCGCCCATCTGTATCACACCATGTTGTGGACATTGCTCAGCACCAGCACTTGCTACTCAATAACACGCACGCACGCACGCACGCATGCACGCATCAAAAGGCTGTGGAAAACAATACCCTGAGCCCAACATTTTTGCTAATCATGTAACACACACATGAAAAACTGCAGAAAGCAATACCCTGAGGTGATACCACACACATGAAAAACTGCAGACACCATCAAGTATCACATGGCTTGATACCTGACTGCCTTAACCAGTGATATCTTGTTGATAACTGATAACATGACTTGATAACAGTTGCTGTTCCACCACTCACTTATAAGGTACACAGATATAGAAAAATGGGCTGTGAGCATATGCCCTCCAAAACAGGGTGATTACACACCAGGCTTATGCACTCTCCAAAATGGTGGGTGTACACTAGGTCTACATTCCCCCTCCCCCCCAAAAAAATATTGGGGATCATTGTACACACCCAGCTTATGCACACTTATAGTCTTGGAGGGCATTGAGTGTGCACAACTGGCCCAAACACCACCCACACTGGGGATCCAGTCCACACAACCAAGGCCATGTAACTGGGCAGGACAGCTCACAATTTGATCAGAACCCATGATCAATAATGCTGGGCTAAACTGCCATTTTTTCTGTGATCACCAACATTGCATGGCTCATGGCATGAAAGTTGATGTGCATAGCAGGCTGCAACAGCTCTCCAATGCAGCAGCATGGTGGTTGATGACTTTGCCCCTTGACCTGGTGTAATGAGATGAGGCCTCCCAGACCAAAGGCTTTCAGTTTAAAGCTGAACCATGTTGGAACCACATTATCAGGTGTTTGCCCTTGACAAAAATCTATCATAATGCATTCATATTAAACATGTTGCATGCAAATTTCATTCATCAGCTAGCAATTTCACCTTTTCATTTCCCCAACATATGACAATACCAAGTTGTGCACAGAGTAATGCTCATTTGAGGTAGTCAATGCTTACTTTGCACTTCTTGCTCTCAGACATAGGTAAAGCTTGAAATAGACAATGTATCAATATATAATATATTACCATGATTCTGCTCTCAAAGGCATCTGCCAATTGGAAAAAGAAACAGCATTTGCAAGTATGTGGGCAATGCCCATGTAAATTGGTACCACAATGGCATAAAGCTGGAGCAATGCAGTGGCTGGGTGGGCCAGGAGTTTCAGAGGGTGTGTAAGTCTCATATGTAGCTGGCCTCTATTTGGAGCATTTTGGAGTCTAGTGCCTAGCCACACTCCATTTTTCAGTGCAGTGATGATTTGTAACCAACATCCATTTGGGAGGATATACATGCATGGTCAAAGAATGCACTGTTCATTTACTAAAACAGTGATCTCAGTATTACACCCTCCTCATGTATCAAACTGTACCTACATGCACATGAAGTTTAGGTAAAAAAATGTATCCACTACACAGCATGCCTACATGTCATCCTTCTGCTACACTTTGCTTTCATACACACCAAACTCAGGCTAGCAAAAATGTGTTTAAAGGGAGTATTCCACATTTCTATAAGATTATGAACTAAAATAGCCATCTTGAAAATCTTTGGGTTCAGTCTACAGACCTGCCTTTCTTAAGACCTAAATCCCTAAGACCATTTCTGAGCTCCATATCTGTGAAGATGGTGGGACTATTTCAGGGAGAGCAGTTTAAGGACACCTTAGTAGGTATGACATCAAAATAAAATGATTGAAATCCTACCATTCCATAAGCCATGATCAAGGCCAAGAACAAAACAATGGTCAAATCATTCATATCTTGTGTTTTGGACACCAGACATGATGCCCATTAATTGACTCATGAACAACTTTGTGCAAGGTATGATGGCTCAATCAAACAATGATGTATCAATGAACATATGTACTCAACAGAGAAATAATGCTGTCTAAAGCAGTCTTTTGTGTTTACAAGTACACCAATAATTATAAGTAAGTTAGTTTCATGATGTCTGATGCTTGCTTCAACATCTGCAAATGTGAGACATTCCCTTTATGTTTGAATTATTCAGGGTGCAAAACTATTTTCACAGCACTACATCTGAAATTCCCTTTGCAATGTAACAATGCCCAGAGATTATTTGTGTGGTGAAATTGATGGTGACTGAACCAAACTCCAGTAATCCACCATTATGGTGTACATACCATGCAATTCTGTTGACTGATGAAATGAAATCTAAATGAAAACTGACACATGAAATTCTGTTGGAAATGGCATAACTGTTTAGCAGTCTGGCATGGGCATGGATTGTGCTTGAGTTACATTACACAAATATCAGCCTAAACATGGCAGAAAACAAGTGTCTGAAAAATGCTGAAATAATCATGCCCCTGATTCGATTCCGAGCTCTCTCAGTCCTGCTGGTTGCCCAATGACGATCATGCCCACTTAGACCAACAGAGCACGGAAATTAGGAAAATGTTTCCAACTTACACTGGTGTTTTTCCGGTGATCGTGCACTCGAGACAATATTCAACACTGTAACGCCCTTAAAACGTGCTAAACTCAGGTGGCTTAAATCATACTTTATGTTCCCTCCGTCCACTGAAGTGTTAGATATACATCAATCTTACGACACACAGCGCAACCGCTTCTCCATCGCCATACCGTCGCGACGCGCCGGAAATCGTTGCGCATGCTGATGCCGGTCTTGCGTCGTTTTCGTCATTTGGTATCTACTCTAATACTGCCAAAATTTGCTAGAGGCGCATTGAAGACTTATCTCTGTGCATCCTGTCTTATGTTTAAACCAGTGATATTAATATGAATCAATTCACATCAAAATTAGGATATTGCATTTTTACAAAGGCTGCACGTCACGTACCCTATTAAGGAAATATTTATATTGCCAGTTAAACAACGACTGAAAATATAAATAGATGAAACGGCTACATACTCATAGTACGTTTCTCCGTCGACGTGACCATCAGCTATTTTTGTTTCTTGCACTTTAAGCTATTAGAGCCAAGGATATGCTGTCTCGTTGCAGAAACATGCGATCAAGTCAACAATTTTCTGCCAATGTTTTGCGTTAGTTCTAGTCTTCGATCTGTTTTTTGCTGCTGCCTTTATCACATGCGTTATACATTATTCGCCATCGTTTCACCTTACCAAAAATTTTGACCATCCTTAATGCAAAAATGTAAATGTGTATTTAAATATCATCAAACAAGCTAACTGTGCTGCCTATCTAGCCCAATTACCGGTCCTTGCACTCGGTCCATTGAACACAGCGGGCACATTCCCAACACCCTATGTACTTTTCGAAAATACCCAACCTTAACAACATCCCGGGAACGTGCTGGGGCCCCGCGATTGTTTTGGTCGAAGGTCAGCGCCGGTTAGCCGTGATATTGACAGAACGATATTGCCCTAGGGCTATTGGGTGCAGAAATTGAAGGCGAGAGGTGGGGGGTTGCCCGGTCCTGCTGTTTTGCGCCTGCCCTGTGACCCTAGTGTTGGAGGCCTTAAAGGTGTTGGTTTAAGATGGTAATCTCTACGTCCCTAAGTCACTTGGACACATAGCTACATGTCCGACAGGTGGCTTGACAACTGCAAAATTAGGTTAGCGTAGTCAAGCTCTTCACAAACTAGATCAGAGGCTTTTGTTATGCATAGCTTGGAGCAAAACTGCATTGTTACTTTGCACCCCCCCCCCCCCCCCAACATTCCACAGAAAATGTGAAGGTCACATGCCTAAGTATAACCATGTTTTTTCAGGTCTAAATCTGGCACTGTGACAATGTCATCTCTCCAAAAGCAAGCACTAAAAATGAAGTGTCCTCTTCCACCTATGGGAAATGTACCAGGAGCTTCTGCTGGCAGGTATGTGAATTGTGTGTGTCTGTGTGTGCAATGATAGTGTGCATCCCGTACCCAGGTGTGATGAATGCCATGAGTGGTTTAACACAGATATAAACACACATATATAGTCTTATCTCTCTCTAATTATTTTTGGGACAATGGGTATAAGTCTTGGCAAAATTTTGAAACAACATGCTGCAACATGGCTGGAAGTTTACAAGATCCATGTTCAGATAGATGACCACAGTGATGTTACTTTATGTCATGCATGGCCCAAACCCAGGCTACACAAAGTGGCAGCAGCAGGATCACCAGGGTTCTGCTGATCCTGTTGCTGCCCCACCTCTGTACCACACATGCCCATGCCAGGCAGATGCCTTGATTTGCTGAGTAGCATGTCTCAGCAAGCCTTTTTTACTCTTATGGATAACTAATTATCATTCTGATTTTGAGCAGATGATTAATTCAGTATTAGCCTTGGAGAGCTGCTGTGAAAATAAAGGTTGGGCAGTATGCTAAAAATAGTAATTTAATATGAATAGGTGGTCAAAAGAATAGGTCAAAAGGTGGTCATTTGACTAGCTCCATCTTTTTTGCTCTAGGTTTGGATGTGCAGTGTGACTGTTTGGATAAATTATCATGGATGGTCAAGAACCTCAGATTAAGGGCCTCTTCACTCCAAATTAAGTACACAGATGCTCAACATTGTGTCATGGGCCACCATGTAATCTGCGTGATGGTCAGTATGTAATGTTATACCCATTTGTTCAATGCTCTTTTGTTTTGTTTTTTTATGCCATGTATTGTACCATGCACCTCACAGTATTTTTAAAGAATACTTTAACCATTGCTGGTTTCACCTTTCAGTATAACATGATCAGGATTATCATCATTTGTCAAGGAGCTCTTCTTGCAGGAACTCACATCTCCAAGCCTTTTACATAGTGGGCTGTATCTCATCATGTGGGTAAATAGTCTAGCCTGTGGGTAACCTTGTAAGGTATTTGGTAAGTTGGGCACAGCTATGTCTGGATCCATGTCCTATGCTGACCCCCATCTTCCATCAGCAGGTGTCATTGAGACATGACTGACCACCTGGCAGCAGTGCTTCATCCCATCCCATCGGCAGGTGTCGGCCAAACCTGACGCTGCCCAGCTAGCAGCAGTACTTCATCCCATCCCTCATCATCAGATGTTGGTAGGGCCTGACACCGACCATCTCGCAGCGGTACTTCATCCCATCCCCTGTCAGCAGGTGTTGGTGGGACCCGACACTGACCGCCTGGCAGTGATTCTTCATCCGATCCCCTGTCAGCAGGCCTCAGCGGGACCTGTCACCGACCACCTGGTATTTCATCCCATCCCCTGTCAGCAGGTGTTGGTGGGACCCGACACTGACCGCCTGGCAGTGGTTCTTCATCCGATCCCCTGTCAGCAGGCCTCAGCGGGACCTGACACCGACCACCTGGTATTTCATCCCATCCCCTGTCAGCAGGTGCTGGTGGGACCCGACACTGACCGCCTGGCAGTGGTTCTTCATCCGATCCCCTGTCAGCAGGCCTCAGCGGGACCTGACACCGACCACCTGGTATTTCATCCCATCCCCTGTCAACAGGCGTAGGCGGGACCTGACACCGACCACCTGGCAGCGGTATTTCAGCTCTGCTGAAGATGTCCAGCTGGATGGAGGAGACGTGTTCCACGTGTACCGGTCTGGCTCCTCCGGGCCGCTGCTCGTGCTCTTGCACGGCGGCGGCTTCAGTGGGCTCACCTGGGCGCTCTTCACGGTCAGTGGCTGACAGCTTGGCAGACATTTTGGCTCTATCGTTTGTGTAGAAGTCTCAAATTGTTGCATTACTGCCCTGTGAGCACAGTAGACAGTTTTGGTGTCAGTTGACATGAGCTTTTAGTGTTCCTTACCTTATGATTGTTTCTGGTGCTGCCTGTCACGTTTTTTCTGACAATGTACCTATTCTTTATTCAAACTTTTCTTGGTCAACCTCATCACCAAAATCCTGACGAACTCACCAGTGAGCCTTGGTGAGCATCACGGGTCTGTAACCACCGACTTTCATTGACCTTGCTATTCAGCATGAGAGCCTCATCATGAGTTCTGTTTGACTCATTTGGACATCATGGCCATTTGTTAAGGTGCAGGGTGTCACTGATTTTTTTGGGAACTGACAGACATTGTGGCAAAATTTGTTCAGCTTGATGCCAGGGATATGAATACAAATTAATGTCACCAGAACTCGGCCACTCCCGCTGCCTCTCCCCCCCCCCCCCCCCCTCCCCCACACCACCACCACAACACCACGCCCACACTGCTGTCCGCGCCACACACTGCTGTCCTTTGACTCTGAACGCTCATCTAGACATGGCCGCCCGATCTGCGTTGCCCGGGGCGCATAGATGCTGGATTGGCCGTCATCCGACTCGCTGCGTGATTGGTCGACCTGATTTGACCCAAGACACATGTGCAATAGCATGAAAAAGTATCCACGTCTTTGGCACTCAGGTGGCTGAACTCTGCCACACTGCGGATGGAAGTACTATGGGCCTTTTCCGGTCGTCACTGGTATTCGCCGAAAGTCCAGCATACCTTCCTGTTCACTGATCACTTTGAACCATGCCTGTTGTGGGCCCACCTGTTGCCTCTTCCCTCCACATCAGCGAACAGCCGCGTGTGCCGGATGTCTCGCGCGCGATCCACCTCACGGGCGCCTTTCAGGAGCGGATAGTGCAGAGTGTGGACTGCCAGGTGCTGGCCGTGGACATGCGCGGTCACGGCGAGACGGCTGCCGCCGACGAGAAGGACCTGTCCATGGAGCGGCTGGTCAGGTGAGGGTCGAGCCGGCGGCGTGCGCTCCAGACAGGCCGGCGGTGGGGAGGGTCGGTGCTGGAGCGCGGTGAGGAGGGCAGTGCTAGTAGTTGAGGCTTTAGGGAGCTTCGGCCGCGCGGTCATGTAGCGCCCATCAGTGAGGAGGGATGCCGAGCGTGCTGCTACACTCCAGTGCACAAGTGTATGGTGCTAAGCTATCCTGTCATTGGCGTAAATGTTGGCCCTGTTATGACCTTTCAGTGGAAGTTATCTCGTCCAAGAGCTTGCGATTCTGCGACACCGTGGTTGCGGTGACGGCCGTAGGTTCAGTGACTTTATCGACAGATGCCGTTTTGAACCGAGCGTTCCCAGTGCCTCTTGCTCCAAGACGGGTCTCCCCGGATACTCTCCTTCGCCGTGCCTTGACCCCTGACAACCTCCCCGTCCCCCGCCACCGCGTAGTGACCTGACGTCGGTGGTATCGGCCGTGTACGGGCCGGCCGCGCCGCCGGCCGTCCTGGTCGGCCACAGCCTGGGCGGCGCGCTGGCCGTGCACGCGGCCCACGCCTGGTGCTGCGGCCCGCTCGTCGGCCTCGTCGTCATCGACGTGGTCGAGGGCACGGCCGTCGACGCGCTCGGCGCCATGCACACCTTCCTGCGCGGCCGGCCCGAGCGCTTCGCCTCCGTCCAGCACGGCATCGAGTGGTGGTCAGTGGAGCGCGGTGCGGTTTGGTCTGTCCACTCGATAGGTCAGACGCGTGATGATCGATACTAGATAGTGTCGAGGCAGTATGGAGGCGGGGGTGTCACGTGACGAGCGCGAAGAAGACCTGCAAAACCATGACGGGTCTTTGCTTGGCTGCTGTGCATTTATGTCGCTTTCGTTGTGTTTTATTGTTCTGCCTCATCATTGCGTTACTTTGCTGTCGGTTTGGCAGTATTAATCGGCGCTGCAGGCTGCCATGGTGTGTT